AATACATGTGACTTGCTCAGCACTGGGCTGGAGGGTAAGTCAGCTGTCTGGTGGCATTAACAAGCATCTTCTTGGCAGCTATGCATTACTTGGAATGGCTGTACTTCATGGAATACAGGATAATCCTACCTGCTCAGGAGACTAAGGAGAATTACAGTTTTGTAGCCAGCCTGATCAACTTAGTTATACCCTGTGTCAAAATAGATTGGACAGGGACTGTAACTTGGCAGTTGAGTGCTTGCCTAGCATGTGTAGGGCCCTGGGTTCCATCCCTAGCACCACTACACACACACACACACAGCAGGCAGGACCCAATGGAGGACACAGGATGAAAAAAAATCCCTAGCAATGATGAGTGATACTTGCTCTTTTTGGTAACAGCTCTATTGTGTATAATTCACCCACCATATGATTCTCTCATTTAATGTGTACAATTCAGTCATTTTTGGTATATTCATAGATGTGTGCCGTAATCCTTGTAAAGGATTTTAGAACATTTTCATCACCCTCTCCCCTGCCAAGAAGCCTGTATCTGTAGCAGTCAGTCTCCAGTCTCCTTCCCCCAGCTGCCAGGCACCACCGGTCTACCTTCTGTCTCTCTGGATTTGTTGCTGCAGACATTTCACATGAGCAGAGTCATACAATATGTGGTCCTTCCTGTATGTTGTCAGGTTGTCGAGCTTCATCCACATTGTAGCAGGAGTCAAAGCTTCATTCTTTTTTTGGCTGAATAATATGGACGAGTGTGCAGTGATCCCAGCATTTTAGGAGACTGGGCAAGAGGATCGCAGTTCAAGCCCAGCCTGGGCAACTTAGCAACTTAGTGAGACCCTATCTCAAAACAATGGGACTGGAGCTGTACCTCGGTGCAAAGGTCCTGGGTTCAATCTCCAGGACTAAAAAAATATAATAATAAAAAATTAAAGAAAATGAACCATTCATTCACCCACTGATGAGAATTTGAGTTGTTCCCACCTTTTGGCCATTGTGAATAGTGCTGGTTTGAACATTCATCTGCACGTTTTTGTGTAGGTGAGTGTTACAGGTCTCTGGGGGACATGCCTAGGAGAAGAATTGCTGGGTCACTTGGTAACTCTTTCAGCTTTCTGAGGAGCTGCTGTACGGATTTCACAATTTTCTATCATTATTCCCACTAACAGTGAGTGATGGGAGAAGCCGATTTCTCCATATTGGGGATTGAACCCAGGGCCTTTGCACTGAACTACATCCTTATCCCTTTTTTATCATACTTATTTTGAGATTGTGTCTCACTAAGTGGCCCAGGCTGAAATTGAACCTGAAATCCTCCTGCCTCAGCCTCTCAGAATGCTGGGATTAATGGCATTTGCCACCATGCCTGGCTTGTCTGTTCTATTTATAGCCATTATGCTGGGTATGAAAAGTGGTATTCTATTGTGGTGTTGAGCACTTGGCATCCTAAGTCAATCTGTTAAGTATCTGTTTTACAGGGAACTCTGTAAGATTGTCACATGGAGTTGTTAAGGGCCCATATGGGCTAAATTATGGCTCTGCCATCTAATTACTATGTAACTTTAGAAAAGTTACTTAACCTCTCTGGTCCTCAGTTTCCACATCTATAAAGGAGGGATAATAAGATGGTTACTTACCGTGCTAAGGTGTTGCAGTGATTAAGTCAGAAACACATGGGAGCCTGCCGTGGAGTTGGTACTCGCTAACGTTATTATGGCGTTGGCTGTTATTGCCGTATGTCTGCTCAAGTATTTTTTCTAGCTTTTTATGGGTAGTGCCCAAGGGGATAATCACAGCTCCCTGTCACTCCTGTGTGACCCTGGGGGAGTGATTTGGTATTTCTGAGTCTTAGGTTCCTCATCTGCACAGGAACACACAGCCTCCCCAGGGGCTTCTGGGGAAGATGAGGCAGTGCCTGCGAATGCGTCTGAGTGTCAAATGACCAGGCGCCTTTGAGGTCGTGCCCCATCTACAGACAGAAACGCTGAGGCTCTGGGAGGGCAAGACACTTGCCTGAGACTGTCTAAGCAACAAAGGACCCACAGGCCATGGAGCTGGGCTGTCTGACTAAGCTTTGCCAGCCCATTTGGCAGGAGACCTTGGGCCCCTGGACTGGTGATTGCCTCCTTCTGTGTCCTTTTCTGAGTGCTGGACTCTGCCAGAACACTGGGCCACCAGAGTGGGGCCACGAGGTGATGTTCTTGGCCCAACCTGTCCCAGAGGGACAGAGGTTCCCACCCAGCCCACGCTAAAGCCCTGGTGGTGGCCTTCAGAGTCAGGGCTAACTGTCTGGGCTGAGACTCACTGCCTTTGGGTGCAGCCGGCCAGGCTGATACTCAGTGACAGGTAGGACTGAGGAGGCTAGAAGGACTCATGTTCCTCCTGTGGACCACCCAGCCAAGGAGCTGGGTGGGATTGGGGGTCTGGGGGAGGTAGGGGGCATCCCTGCTTACCCATACCCTCCACTCAACCACACCCCAGCCTTCTCTGCTGCAGGACTTCTCAGAGCCTTCACCGGCTCATGAACTTGTCCAGGAGTGGGGTTTTCCTAACTGCCTTGGTTTTATGCAGTTGGAAATGCAAAGGCTTTGTCTAGAAGCAACTTGCAGGGTGCAGGTTCCTGGGGCCCTGCTTTGGGAAAAGCTGTCTTCTCCATTGTCTCTGCAGAAGGTGTGGCTTGGGTCTTGTTCCCCACAATCCTCCAGTCCCACCTGTCCTTGGACAATGTTTGGGCACAAGTAAATGTGCTGGGAGCTGCTGTTTGCTGCCCCCAGCTCCTGCACCTCAGCCACACTGGCAGTGCTGGCCCTCCGCTGCTGGTGGGTATTAGAACCTCCAGGAGGTCCTGAAAACTCAACCACAATAGCATACAGCTTCCTGGACCAGGCTTTGGAGATTCAGCTACAGAGGGTTGTGCCAGTGCCAGGAAGCTGTTTTTTCTGCCACACTAGTGGGTCCCCAAATAGAACTCCAAAGTGCCAGCTATTCCTTCTGCCTTGCAATTCTAGACACTCACCCTGGCCTACCCCAAGGAGGACACACATGGAATCCGCATTTCTGTGGCCTCTGCTTATTGGAGCCTTCCGTCCAGACCCCGACCTCCTGCTCATCCCTCAGAGCCCATCCGCATGGTGAAATTTTATTCACCCCTAAAAAGGAATGAAGTTCCCACAGATGCTATACGCAGGATGAACCTTGCGAATATTGTTAAGTAAGAGAAGCCAGGCATAAAGGACCGTGTATTGTGTGGTTCAATTTATATAAAAGGTCCAGAACAGACAAATCCCCAGAGATGGGAAGATGAATGGTTGGAAGGGGCCAAAGTGAGCAGAAAGGGTGGGGACTGACTGCCAATGGCATCAAATTTTAGGGGTGATGAAAATATACTGCAGCTAATGGTGATGGTTGCAAAATTTAGAATGCTAAAAAAATCACATTTTAAATGAGTACATTTTGTGGTATGTGAATTATATCTCCATATTAAAAATATGTTGTGCCAGGTACAGTAGTGCACACCGATAGCCCAGCTCCTAGGGAGGCTGAGGAAGGGTGAAAGCTTGAACCCAGAAGTTTGAGACCACCTTGGCAGCATTGCAAGACCTGGTCTCAAAAAAGAGAAGAAAAGTGTTATCTGGGTACAATGGTGCAGGCCTGTAATCCAGAATTCTGGGAAACTGAGGCAGGAGGACCCCAAATTGAAGCCCAGTGCACCTTGAGATCATACTCTTAAGTGAAATAAATCAAACACACATGTGTAAATACCACATTGTTTCTCTGGTGTGAGAAACCAAAAGTAAATAAGAACCAAAATGTATAATAGGTATTGAGAAATAGGAAAAAAATGTCTACGTGGGGAGGGGATTAACAGGTGGGAAGGGGAGCAGAAAAGTTAAAAAAAAATGAGAAAAGAAGGAAAAAATGGAAACAAAACTTTTATAAATGGGGAGGGGAGGAGGAGTTGAAGGGAGGGGAAGGAATGGGAAAAAAAAGAATCAAGTTATAGCATATGCAGGTACAATTTCTCCATGATGCATGTGATCATTATATATATCTAAAATGTATCAATAAAATGTAATTTAAAAAATAATAAAATGATAAGTGATCAGTAGACTTTAAAAATATACAAATTTAAGCCTTGTGATTTAGTGAAACCCTGTCTCAAAAAAAAGTGTTTAGCTGGGTGTGGTGGCGCACGCCTGTAATCCCAGCACTCAGAGGCTGAGGCAGGAGGATCGTTG